TGATAGTTTAGAAGTCAGTAATTGGGAGGCACTTGATCCACCTGCGTTTTTTCAGTGAGTTGATGACCAATAGTTTCATGACTAGCGTAACTAATAGCACAGTTATTAGGGTTCCACTTAATTTCATCGCAAAGTTCATTACCCCCTCCCCGCGGGAAACTCTGGTTCTGCACCCGATGACGTTCTCATTATTGTGGATCAGTAAAGTGGTAAAAAATGTCTCGTTTCGACTCCTGCTGTGCCGTCTTTTAATGAAAGGAACGCTCAAACTCAGGGTATTGCTAATGTCGTCAGGGTTCTGCACGAATGCGAATTTTCCGCCTACATTGCTACTGCTAAGTCGTCAGTAGCTAAACGTGTGTGCACTTTTTATTCATGCTTGCGAAGAGCGGCGACTTCAGATAACACATAGGTGACGAAGGTTTCATATCGTGGCACCAATATGTGAACAAGGATTGCCTCTTCGATTGTATATTTGTGCATGAAAGGGTTGAAAGAGCTATAACACTTGGTTCGTCGGAAATTATTATCCTGACAGAGTTTCCTGACACGTTTCCTTCATTTTTGATTCGATTCTCATTCTGGTGTTGTTTTATTTCCGTTGTCCATTTATTCAGTTTAATAGTAACTGGCTCTTTATTTTGGCCCCATCTGGTTACCACTGTGCCCCTTCCGGTGCTCCTTCCAGTGATTCGTTTTGGTTGTCATCCTGGTTATTTTTATCCCCATTTCATTCCTCAAGCATAGACCAAATTTACATTGTTCCTGTGGTTTCTCACTTCTTGTATGAATTTATTCATTGATCCGATAGTGACTTAACTGACATCCGCCTTCCTTCACCCGTCAGTTTTCTCGAAAGAATTTTGGATTGTATTTTCCCTCACTATCCATTCACAATGTTCCCACACCACATACCTCAGTTTTTCGACACGGTTGTGCACGTAGTAAACGGGCGAATTCATTAGGTCTACGCGTACTCTGGCGATATATCCTTATGATTATAAGGTACAGTCACAGCAATGAACTTAGGTGTGGGTTATACATAGAGCAAATAGAACAAGTTGTGATATTCGTGTGGGTATCCACATTATTTTTATCGAATACTTTTCATTAACATTGCGCACCTCAATCCAGTTACTCTGCGGAGAATCACGTAGTTCCCTCGGCCACTTGGCACAGGTTTATTCCTAAACGTCACCCGGCTTGAATTAATTGGATCAAATCTTCAGGAAATGCGACAGGCTCTGCAAACTTGCCGGCAATACTTTTAGCTTAGCAGTCGTTAACATTTGGATGCTCTACTTTTATCACATCCCAAATTCTTGTCTTTTTACGGGTGTTGAAAGCCATAGGCAGGGATTCATGTCAAACCGAATCTGTCATATTGACACCTTTTCTTCAAAACGTGCCCAGCAGCTGAGAGCGTGTAAAAAGTATTTCATCTCTCTTGATTTTACAAACGTGCCTTGACTTACTGGTCACAGCGACTTTGATTACAGTAAAACTGGCACCGTTGTCCTACTTGAGGATACGGGAACTTAATTTACAGCTTCCATAAATAACCTACTGAAATTCTCGTTTTGTTTACTTTTTAACTTAGCAGCACCGGTATGGATTTGTTTTCGCTTGTCTATGAAGTTTCACCGACGATTGTCCGTCTCAAGAGTTATCTGGTTACAGTTTTCAGTCTTGTACATTCAAGGTGTCCCAAATTTTTTCTTTTCCCAGTTGGCGGCTTTTTGAGATCAGATTTTCTCGATTCCCTTTGTAGTGTTCAACCAACAACGGTAATAGTAATATCAAAACATCATTCAATCAAGTGAGGCAAATGCGTCTTTATTAGGTCTAGGATCTACTTGCAACAAGTGTTAATTCCGACCGAGCAATTTGCCTTGTTTCATGTTCTACTTTTGCTTGGCCGGAAGAAGCCCTCACGACCTTCAGCCTCGTGGCCCCGTGGCCATGCGCAGATCATGCTGTGCCATACACCGAGGGATGATAAATCCGATTGCCTGCCGTAAGCATTCGTGACTAACAGAAATCCGTCGCGTCTTCAAGTCCTTGTGCCTTTCCGTTTAATGGCCTGACTAGACCTTTTAGTCAAACGTTATTTCCCCAACCCAGCTTTGCTTTCTTGTGAGTTCGGAGGAATATTCCACTGTATCCCTTACATCGATAGTTCTCCTTGGACTAATGTCTAATATAATTCTGTTGCACCCAACTGTCCATTTTGATCCGCCTTCTTGTGAAGTCCATTTCGTGGACTTTGGTAGTACACTGTACCGAATTCCCAGCTTTCTTTTATCTTTCTAGCTTTGTCTGTCCTCAGTCTGATGTAGCATGGTGTGGTAAACATGAGGTGAGGTCATGTGCCCAATATGCGACCACTGCGTATTATACTTCCGACTCACTTGGGAAGGTTTTCTGTTTGACGTGAGCTTTGCTACTGAGTGACGTCAGCAAGCACTGTTCGATGGAGAACAGACAGGAGTGTCTGTCATTTACACGGCAACCCGGATATAATGTGCGCGTTACAGTACAACTAGAAAATTACTTGGTTGGTACGTGTTTCATTTACAGAAGGCGGAATACTTGGCGGATTACACTACTTACATTACAAACGACAGATTCAGCTGGGATTCAGTTGCGTCTCTCGTTAAAATCAGTTTACTTAGCAAATTAATGTATTCCGTTGACAGTGAGCTGGGACTCTTTAGACCACACCCGTTTCACTTTTCAAACTACCTCTTAGCTCTCTCTCCCAGTGCATCGGGAAAATTTTTTCCCGGCCTCCAGTCAATTGGTACATTGGTTTACTGATTTACTGATCATTTCTGACCCAAACCCAAGGACGTTGTGCCGTTGATTGTAAGTGCCACTATCATATTGCCACATCCCGTTTTTCAACGAGGATAATTTCTCACCGTGATAGTGCCTCAGTTTGCAGTGCTCAATTGTTAGGCTGTTTCGCACTTAGTCCTATGGCACACCATTTTGAATGCAACGGAACCCGCGCCTTTAGAATGCAGGATGATTTGATGACAACATCCGTGGAGAACTTGCACACGGAAATCTTGCGAATCTAGTTAAAAGTATGGAAAGCGGTGCCTTTCTTAGGTCATTTGTAAAGTACCCCGCATGCCCCAGTATGCTTATGTTTGGACTTAATTTCAGCTGATCTGAATAAAGTTCCACACGTGTTGAGTACACATGATGGTTTACGAGCTCTGTACGTAGACAAACAAAATTATGTGTAAGTTTAGTGAACATCGGTATTCGAGAAATTTACAGTATCACGCGCACTACGAGCGGAGAAGACCGAGAACAGCGTTTCGTCTAGTATACCGCAGTAATTTATGCTCCTCTTCCTGCAATGTTCAGCTACGCGAACACTCAAACAACTTATTGTTTGTTCTGCTGTGCTACTGACCCCCACAGTTGCTACCTCTTCAATTTACTATCTCATTAGGGTTTTATCCCGTTAGCACTGCTTATTACGCCTCAGTACCTACTGCACTTCCGCGCTGAGTTAGCGCTGGACCGACTTCACGTGGTATTCACACGTGAGACCACCTTCCCGTTCTGCGAAATGGACCGGCCTGTTGAGTCGTGCACATATGCACCCTTTCACAACCACTCATCTGGTCTTTGGTGGCCACTGGTTCGTCGATTCATACTGTCTGTTTGGACGTGTTATTTGTACTGCTGCGCAAACGCCGCGGGGTTGCTCATGCGTGCCTGCGCACGCACATCCACGCATCAATAGATGTGCGCTCACACGCTGCCTGGTCCCGTTGAGCAGATGCACCAGCCACAACTAGCTAGACACGCAGACAGGCTGTTTGCGTTCGCGCACGCACATACGCCTACACGAGCGCACTCGCGCGCGCGAGAGAGCCAGTGCCTGAACTTGCCCGGCTTCAAACAGCTGGTATACTTGATCAGCATGCTCATTCCGCACTCATCCATACATCGTCGTCGTGGTGCTGTTCTGTACTCTGATCTGTTGCTCACATGATCGAACCGGAATGATCCGATCAGGTTCGACCGATCTGGACAAACGTGCGTTTCGTCGTCTTTATTTTTCTCGGACATCTGTTCCCCGTCCACGAGTGATTACCACCCTTGTGATCCCCACCAGTCGGTGCCTTGGTAAATGATGGACGAGCGATCCAGTTTAATCTGTCAGAGTGACGGGAAAGAAACTCTACCGTCTGGGATTTCTGCGGAAGCAAGCCTTGTGTTGACGGAAGGTCGAACGATATTTGATTCGCACACGAAGGACCTGATTGAAACAGCACACAAAATGGTGTCACCAGCGGCTTCCAAGGATGAAACGAAAACCCCGCAATCACTGACTCCGTGCACCCCGGATAGATTATCTTCGCCTCCTTCGATGCTACAAACAACACTAAATTCAGATGCCTCCGTTTGTCCACCTGTGAACATGACCCCACCTGGAACAAGCTGTCATTCGGGCCCAGCCTCACGTCCGGTGTCTCCAGCTTGTACACAACTCAGTTCTTCCCCAAACTTGTCATCCAGCCATCCTGTTGCATCTGCAGCGGTAACCGCATCTGTCAGGCGTCCCAGACATAAACCTGGAGAGCGGCGTGAACTCCTTACTCGTGCGGTTCAGGATGTACTCAATCAGCATATTTCTATGCGACGAGCAGCCCAAAAGTATAATTTGGCCAAGTCTTCACTGTGTGACTTTGTTCGCAAAAATAAAATCTCACTGCCGAATCTACGAATCAGAGCTCGGACAGCTGGTCCAGAGCCTAATATTACGCAACCTGATACACGGGTGATGACTTCAGGAACAAAGCGGTTGCCTCCTGATGGCGATGATACGTCATCCTCTTCCATGATTCCAAACAAACTCGCTTGCGGACTGGGCCGAAAGTCATCTGGCTTATCGCTTGCGGAGTCCACCCAGTATGGTATCGCTCCTTACGGTAATTCGGATAATTTTGATAGCACCCATTCACAGAATATCGGTCACACCGGATTCATAGACGGAACACACACAAATAACAATTCAGTGGATTCTTGGGCCCATGAAGAAACATCAGAGTTAGCCACTGTGGCAGACGGGCTTTATGCGCAAACTCGACCACCATCCTACTCCGCCGTCACTTCCGTTTCTGGTCGTAGTTCAGCTGCACTATCATTCTCTAAGCCATCTCGTCTTGAAAGTCCCTGGCACAATTCGGCTGGCCTGCCGACACAAGTCCCAATGCGCTCTTGGAGTGCACACAATAACAGCACACAAGCTGCAAATGGTTCAGTACCTGGTAGCGCATCCACCGCGCTCGAACGTCGACTGCAGTTCAATTCACTCAGTCAGCTACGCCAGACCATCGAGGCTCAGAATCTGATCACGGAACACAACATTCGTGCACTAGCTGAAGGGGGAGATTTCACTCAGCTTTCCGCAGCCACTGCGTCAGCCACCCCGCTACCGGCAAAGATCAATTCAATTCGAAAGTCTGCGAACGGATGCGATGAAGCACCTTCACACGCGGCTGAAAACGATTTGTTGCAAACGTGCCAACGGATGAAGCCAGTAAGTCCGAATTTTAACATCGTCATATCCAATGCACCATCGTCGTTTGAAAAATTATACACAGTGCATACTGGTCGTTAAATGCCATAATTTACTTCATGTAACGTTTTTAGGTGCATAGTCACATGAACGTTAGTTGACCAAAGACTTACCGGTTGACGACCGGAGCATCCAGTCACAGCTGCCTCCAAAACCAACATTCTTTTGGTCGTATAATATTTTTTTGCAGTAAGGGACCTCCGAAAATTAAATATAGCTTAGAGGAAGATCTCTGCATCAGTAAAGATCTGGCTAACAAAGGTTTTCGATGTCTACCCTTTTTAACGGAATAGTTTGTCTTGGTTTTTCTTCTACGCCACCATATTGACCGTCGCATAGACTTCCATAATGTTAGTCCGGTGACTGAAACTTGTTCGTTATTCTATGATCCAGCCATCTTTCACCGTTGTTTGATATGTTCGGATAGTGCGCGGAACCAGTGTCTGTGTATTGTTTCCTTCACTGACGTATGCTTCTCGCTTAACTGGCTAGCTCAACCCATCTGGTGTTTTTTTATAGGATGTGTCGATACGAATCTTAACTTGCCCTGATAAGCATCTTAGTTTTCCTTTATATATCCAGAAATCTCTCGAAATCAACTTCAAATGCTCACAAAAGAAGGTGTCGTTTATAGCCGTTTCAGTAGGGGAAGCTTAGTCAACATGGTGTCTGTTGAAAATGCTACATACGACACCAGACATCGGTGACACTCTTCGATGAACATGCCTTCTTTATTGATCCTTTGATACTTGTGGAATATTGCTATTTACATGAATTTCTCTGGACGTGTATGGCGTGTTCAAGTGAAGTTTATCGTCGTTATCATTTGGATAGCATTTTGCAATTCATTTCTGAGCACTGATCAGACAGGTTTGTCTGTTAGATATGTCTGTAATTTTCACCTTCGTAATTGATAAGTACAAAAATGGACAAGAATTCCGGATTGTCTATTACACAACTACCAGCACCGGTTACATGCTGTTCTACGTATTTGGGTAGTTTTATACTGTATAAAAGGGGATTTGATCACACCAAACGAAGAACACTTTTCTGTCTCCAGTAAATGTCTAGTATTCTGTTTTCCGTGTCGTTTGTCTCTTAGGTCGGCGCTCAGTCCTCGTCTGATGTGGACTGCAATCCGATAAAAAACTGTCTACGTCATGCCGAAGTCTTGAATGGATCTCACGACCCAACAGATTGTTGCGCTACGGATTTGAGTGAACACCGTCAGGCTCCCAACATGGCCACAGTGAATCTGTCTTCCGCTTCCAGTGCTGCTGACCACTCTGAAAATTTAAGTAATACTGGCGAACGAAGCAGCACCAATACTCCCACGGAAATGGGATCACAAAATTTCACTGCTAGTTTCAACATTCCAGCTGGTGTTGCGAGCCAACGTAGTGAGGGAAATCCGTTCACACGCTCACGTGACCCTCGACTCCCGTTTTCCGCATACGAGACATCACTAATTGGTCCAGCAACTTCGGAGGCACAGCAACCCCCCAACCACCCAATTGCAGCCACAATAGCACAGTCCATTTTCAGCTCTTCGAATTCGACGAACACACCTTACCCTGCCCTTGCCTCCATTCTCTCGGCAGACTTCGCTTCTGCCAATCAAAATGCACTAGCTGCTTTTCTGTTTCAGCAGTCTCGTTCATTATCCTCGTCAGGCTCCGTAGCTACACCCAATTTGCCTAATCTTATTGGATGCCCTAACCAGCTATCTTTCCCTGCAGCTGTATCGGTCAACCCTCCTACCCAGTTACTGACCTCAGATTTCGCCCTGTCTACTCCGGCCGGTCTCCTATCATCTTCCATAGCAAACCCACGACTTAGTGCCACACGTCTTTCTTCCGGAAATCCTTCGATTTCCGCATCCGCACAACCCTTCCAGTCAGCTGTGAGCAATAACTTCCCAGTGGCCGATTTGTCCTTGCAGCCTAACCTTGAGGACCTACAACAGTTTTTCTATCGGCAACTTCAGCCAAGGCTTTTCAACGATCTCAACGCTTCCCCTCAGACGGTAACAGCTTTGGCGACCCAGCTGCTTCTTCCTCAACCCAACCAAACACAAAATCAGCCCTTTGTAAGTTCATCAATGATTTCGGCAATCTCAGATGTAAGATTCATTTTTAGCTGCTGTGCAACGCAAGTAGTTACAACTAGCATCTCCATGGGTTCTCACTGTTTCAGACTTAGGCAATCTCACCTAATACACCCGGTATCCTAGAGGACATGAGTATAATACCGTCGATTTCTACCCCGTCAGGTGTTGCTCGGGGTGGATTTTTTTCGCATCAATTAATACAACAGTTGTTTTTCGGTTTCATTCATCTCTACCATCTTCCTACAATGGAACTATTAGTAGCCCGGATTGGCCACATGCTAATCATATTCACTGGTTCGTTTGGAACTTGCGCGAATATTTTCTCCACTTGTCGTCTTTGAACAGAAACATTCTCATCGTCCTATAAAGCACTATCGAAGGGGTATGATCGTAAAATCCATCTTCGTTTTTATACCCCGATAACTGCCTACGATTCACTCATTCTAAGGTTATCTTTATCCCTGGATTGACTATTTTTTCCCTCGTAGCGGGACTCAATGACCACAATATCATCTCTTGGTGAGTACTCGTATGCAGCTTTCCAGCAGAATTTAACTGACTGGATCTTGGAAACCCCTCCCTAGGGACAACATGTTCGCTTTCCAGGCAGTTTCTTTGAACTCACGATTAATAGTAAGTAGTAATTCCCCGGCTGTGCTCAATATTGTCAAAGGTTTATTCTACGGAGATGACATTCGCACAAGGGGATCAAATATGCACTGTGCCTAATCCATGTACTGACTCAACTTTTCCTCTGTTTCTTCTGCCTCCTCCAATTGATATTATTTGCTTCGACGCTGTTTTCACTCTGAATTTCACTCGTCTACGTACCCTGATTTCGACACCAATAGATCCCTCTAATTACCATTCACTTAAGGCCGGCTAGAAAATGGGTATTTAATGATTAAGCTTAGTTCCGGTCATGATGTAAACAGGTTTCTTATCACTTGATGTTTCAAGTGATGTTTCAACGAATAATCGAAAGCACGGTTAGCAGTGCAACCAGGCACGCCATGAAATGCTTGCCCTAAGGAGTTGTGGTAGGACAGTTTTAGGGGTAAGAGCATGGGTTTTTATTTTTTGGACCAGTGAACACACGCATTTGATTGAACGAAAGATTTTAACTTATCCTAAATTTGTCGCTTCCTTGCTATGATTCGCGGTTCTTTGTTTTCCATTTGTCCCTTTCGACACTTTTCGATGGATCTGATGGTTTCATTTCGTGAAGGAACTTTATTAGCCAATAAGCTTGCCTTTCCAAGTAGTAAAACTTTGCCCTTTTTTGAAATTCCAGCGCAACCTCCTGACCAGTTTGCTTGGATCCTTGAATTCCAAAATTCAAACTGCCACATTCTCTGGTCCTAATACACTTACGTCGTTGACTCAGGCCTCTGCATCCACTGTCCCGATCAACACTGTCACGGAAACAAACTCCAGTCAACCGAACGCAGCACCGCAGGAACCACTCAACAAACAACCTATCCTGAGCGGCCTCAATCCACCATCTACGCAAGACATGAGCAACATCAGTTCCCACGCGCGTGGTCTTGTGGATTTCATCAACAAATCACCCTCACCGTTTCATGGTAAGTGATCACAACTCTTAGTTTGTTCTGTTCTGTTTATGCATCTGTTGGGTTTGTAGGTTTCGATTGAATACACACGATCATCCTTCTGGTTAGGTGGTACGTCATCATGGGTGTTCTATGCCACTGACTCTTCATTTTTAGCGTCACCATGGGCCACTGTAGACAAACGACGGGGAGTGTGCTGTGAGATTTGTCCATGCTCACAGTTTTCCACGCTCAGTCGGCTCAGCCTGACTCAGATCAGAATCGTGATGTACACATGTGATGTACACCTCACTCTCTTTAAATCGACATTTCCGCTGGTCATTTCAAACGCGTAGCGCTGTGTGCTGCTTTGATGATGATGAAAGCAGCGACAGTCTGGCATATCTTACCTAATCGTTTCTGCTCAGATACACGTACTTTCACAGACGAGAGCGTGTGCGCGCATTCATGATCCGTAGTTTGCACGTTCAAACAGGTTTTCGTGCAAAGTTGATGTTTTGTTGTTTTTATCTTCCATTCTTACTACAGTCTGTGGTCGCTCTCCTGTGGTTTTTATTTTTGCATGCGCATCCTCAGTGGTTTCGTGCCCGGAACCTGTCATACCACATTTGTTGACGATGGACACATCGATTGTGCAGTACTGACGAGTGATTAGGCTGTAACCTGCAAGTTGTTTATCCGAGGATTTTCGTTGTGTCTGATTCGAGGCGAGCGTCTGTCTGCTTCTGTGTTTTCAGCCTGTTAGCCTTTTTTAAATCCTAGTCTGTAGCGACGCAGTGTTCGGAACGGCTTGCGACACAGTTCCAGAATCAATTCAGTAACTGTGACCTACCAGGCTCCAGTTCCCGTAAATGTTTCCTCCTAATGCCTGCGGAAATTGGGCTTATTTGGCTCATCTCTAAACATGAACCAAATCTTCCTAGCATTACTTAGTGAGTCGTGCGGATTGTTCTGTCGTCTAATAATAAAACCTATCGCTTTTGACGTTCACTCTGGTGCAGTCTATGGATTTTTGTGCCTGAAGTTTCGCTGAAGTGGCTACCGAAACATAATGTCTTGAATCTGGGAGGTAAAGCAAACGTACAGATTTGATAAAGTGAACCTTCGTGACACAGTTGTAGGAAAGGTGTGGCAAATTGAGGTTCAAGGTTTAAGTTCAGCCGCATATCAGTACACGTAAGGAAAGCCAGCCTATCATTACAAGCCCTGTCCCGTTCACGTTTCACCATTGTTCGTAGAGTTTGCCAGAATTATTCTTTTTCAAACTCAGTACAGTGCATTTCTGTTCTTCTGCAGCTGGCACAACTTAGATTCATCTTGGCCAAACAAATCCCGAATAAGTAGACGACCAGAGTTAGGTTTCATTGCAATGATTTACATTTGCACCGTACGTACTAGCAGCTTGGAGCCCTCGGATCGGAGTTTTATCGCGATATGGAATAAGTTGCCGGAGAGAGTGAAGATTCGGCAATCCATATAAACGGCTAGTAAAATGCTGGGGACGAACTTATGACCCCTTCCCTACCACTCAGATGGTCTACTTGCTAGGCGGTCACCGGCGCTAATTTATAGCTTGTGTTCGTTGTGTTCATGGATGATCATATCCATCCTGTCTGATATAACAACAAGATTCTGGTGCTCCCACTAGCCAACCTTTCATTTGGTCTTCAGAGTAGGTCAGACGGACAACCACTGTTGGATTTTAGTGAGGTGGCGGCGAATGGTTTTTGACATTTCCAACATTATGCATACGGTGCAAATGTAGAGGTAGCGATCCAGGTTCGACTCGTTCTTTTGCCTAAAGGGACTTACTTTTTCTTCCGTTTTTATACCGGTTTTATATGATAAACTGCACAGTTTGTCCCCGGAAACTGCTATTTTTGAATGTCTGTGCTACGGAATAAGGCATATTTTAAATGCTGGTTTTATTTTTGAGGCGGAGGACACATAATCATAGGTAACGCTCAACCGGAGACAGCGATTCTTGATATATAGTGGTTTCGACAGTTATAACCGAACTTAAAAAAACGCATTAATTTGTCAGTCGCTATTGTGAAGAAGAGCACATGAAGCTAGTGAGCCGTAAGACTCTTTCATACAGACTACCAGAACATCATGAACTCCCATATGTACTGATATCGTTCATTTTTTCGGCTGTCGCTAAGATCGATTCATTCAATCTTGCTTTGTTTTAGCGGGTATTGCTTTTGTGGTGTGGGACTTTTGTTTTCATTATGGCTACCTGCACGAAATGCACTCACCGGTGCCGTTAGTCAGTCAATGTCGTAAAGAGATGGCCTAGTGAGCGAAGCCCATATTAAAGGAGAAAACCATTCTACCCAGCGTTCCTCCGCAGTGGTGACATCCTGTTTTACTCTGTTTCACCCTTCGCGGCTGTTGTGGACTGAACGGCTATTTTTGCTAGCAGTTGGATCCAGTTGGATCTCGCGTCATCTCTAGGTACAGTCCCTTTTCATAGGCTAGGTTCGGGTATAAACATCGTACGGAATACGGCGCAACCGCACTAAAAGATTGATCCCATCGAATGCTGCAGGATGAATTCCCAACTAGGACAAATCGCTCCCCCCATTGCGTGATATACACGGTCGTCTCTCTAAAATTAGGGAACGTTGGTTTCATTCTAAGGTGGAGAGATCCGGCGTTAATACAGCCCTCCACCCTCGTGAAGTAACTGCGTTTGATCGGTACCTACGTATTGTAGAAGGGCTCCATTGTTCCTTATTTCAATCCGGCTCATTACCAAACGGATATATCCTCCGCTCTCCTTACCGATAGTGTAATCTTTTGAATACCGCTGAAGACAACGGTCGACAATAGAGGTGTCGTCCGTTTTTCTAACAGACTTCGTTTTGAATCACTTTGAGTGCTCATGGTACGTACGCGGTGCAAAGCTCTGTTGTATAGAGAGATTTATCTTGGCGGTTGCCTCGATTCGTGCAATTGCATTGTTTTAGGAAGCGAACGGTGGAATCGTTCCGTGCTGCTTCCCTTCAACATAGGCATCACTGCGGTCGATGTGACAGACGGCGATGCTTGGATTGTTACTTCACGGCTGAAAGTGCATGGAAGAAAATCGAGGTAGCTTTTATCTGACCATCGGTGCCTTGAGACATTGCACTCTCATCATACGGACGTCAGTTTAGGAAGATTGTAGCAACAAAATCAACCTCAAGTTGACGAGTTGACCTATATACACCGGACCTATGTATCCAAGCGGTTAGATAACCGAATGCCTCACCGTGTCGTTTTTGCTACACCAGGTGCATATCAGGAGATACCAGAAGCTGAACAATGTACGATAAGTGGAACATGGAAAACATAACAACGAGGTCTTAGCTGCGTTGAAGTATGTTGCCTGAGAGGATCAAGTGTCTGTGATCCACCGCCCTAGCGGTCGGAGGTACTCACCAAAGGTCAAGAAAACAGTGACGCTGTTGCACCTGGTCTGCAATCGTCAACTAATTGTTGCTTTCGAGGTTTCGTGCGCCCGCGATAATTCTTTCATTCTGTCGTATTAAATACCATTTACCTCGAACCACCATGCATACACTCACGATTCACTGAGCTCATCGCCTGTTCCCAGCAGTGATTTAACAGCTGCTCAGAGAAGAAGCGGTTAATTATGTAGACTCATGGTGTACCACCCTAGGTCTCTAGGACACATTTTTTGAATTTCAAAATCCTCACAAGGAGACTAATTTCTTAGTCAATCTCATTTTTTCCCATAGAATCATCAAATTCTCAGTTTGCTGTATCGGTCAGTGTGTCATCTGGTGCAAGTTTCGCTTCCAGTGTTGCTTTGTCTTCATTGATGCCAGATTGGAAATGGAGAGATAGATCCTGATCTTAGTGTGTGATGAAGCATGTAAACCTTTGATTATTTGATCGGGTCACACTGCAGGAGCACAATTGTAGGTCGACATTTTCGGGTCAATTCAGCCATTACAACCTGAGCATTTATGTGGCCCCTGTACCCCGAGTTCTCAAATATTAGGAGAAATATATGGGACTTTTGGGTAATACTAATAATTATAATGCTAATCGTAATAAAATAGTGATTGCTCAGCTTTAAAATCCTTGCGGTGACTCGCTGCTATGCCACTATAAACAAGCAAGAGAGCTGAGATACTGTCAGGTTGCCCAAGTCTAGACAGGTGCAGTCGAGTAGGTGAGGATGGGTTCGAACCAGCTCGACGTTCCAGTCAATAATTCCGCGCCTCATCCCCTGAACTTTCTCGAGCTCGAACTCTTAGGTAGGTACTTCCAACGATTGTTCCACCTGTTTATCAACGTATTGGATTTTATCGCCACGTTACAGTGTTTACACTGGTTTACTTTTGCTATCTTTTCATCCGAACTTCTTTGACAATCGTCCGTTTGACGCCCCGTTGTGATCTCTCACAAAGCACAACCTATTCAACAGTTGATCGAACTGTCGTCCGCAGCTGACTTGTATAGCACCGTTGCTATTCGTTCATCACATAGTTGCTAAGTCAACACAGTGGTTGCTGTCCAGATTTATCGATCTAATTTAGAGCAGTTGCACTATCCCACCCCCCGCAGGCACCGCTCATTCTACTGGTATGTTGTACTGGACATGTCTCTGTTCGATCAGGTCAATGTGTACTTTCTGGGCGTGTCTGTTTGATAGATAGAATTCTGCCTTACTAGCTCGCGCTGGTTGTTAACCCGATTACCCGGGTGCAACGTTCGATCGGATGTTGGATGGCATTGCCGCCCGTTTCTGTCCATCGGTCGATCAAAAGATGAACTTGCGCTCGTTACGGTTGGCCACGTGATACATTTCCCTCTGTTCAGTAAAATTCGCATCATTCTGATCGGTACAAACATGCCCCTGGTTGTTTTTGGAATGCATAAGACACCAGTCCTAATTTTTTCTAGATCTTTCACTTATCTCAGACTGGTCGTTCTCTTGGTAGCATTCAAGAACTACGTTGCATGACTGCATGTTTTGGTTACTTTAGGTACAA